ACTCAAAACTCCAAACTTTCGGTGAGCAGCTGACTGAGGTCATTGTTGACAATTGAAAATGCCAACACGGATGTGAGAAACTAGAACTCTCACTCTCTGCTGTGGGGAATGTAGAATTGGTACCACAACTGTGGAAGATAGTCTTGCAGTTTCTTATAAAGCTAAACATAGGCTTACCTGAAAATCCAGCAATTCTATCCTAGATATTGACTCAAGTGAGACAAAAGTTTATGTCCATGGAAAAACCTCCATGCAAACGTTTCTTCATAATTTATTCTTTATTATTCATCATTTATAGTTTATCCATGCAATTGAGTTATAAAAAGAAATGTTTCAAAATCAAGTTACGAAGAAATATGGAAGAACTTTAAAAGCATGTTGCTAGCTGAATGCTGCCAATCTGGGAAAGCAGCAGACTGTATGGTTCCAACTTAGGACATTCAGGCAAAGGCAAAATAACAGACACAGTTGAAAAGATCAAGCTGCCAATAAAACTGTTCAGAAAATACAAGAAAGAAAAGGTCATGGATTAAAGAAGAAGGGATGGAACGATTCTATATGATACTCTAATGGTAGACACATTATGCATGTCAAAATCCATGGGACTGTACACTACACAGTGTGGGCCCTGTGTAAACTATGGACTATAGCTGATAATAGTGTGCCAATGTTAGTAATTCATTAATTGTACCAGAAGCACAAGGTCAGGATCAATAGTGTGGCAGGAGAAATAGTCTATGGAAATTTTCCTTCGGGCAGTTTTTTTCTGTCAGCATCAATAAAAACATTCAAAATAGATGAGTTGGAAGGTCCGTTCAAACAATTCTGAAAATTAAGCAAAGATTTTCCACTCAATAAGATTCTGAATGTTTCCAATGAGCTTTGGGCTCAGACAATAAATGAAAATGTATTTTTCTTATTATTTTCCCATAAAAATATCTCTGTAAAAAAAATCTCTGTGCAGAAACATTTATCCTCAACTTCCTCCAGTGAGATTCAAAGAATGAAGTATTCTTTGCTATATTCCTGGCTGATTCCTCTATTTATGTCTAGAACCCAAACCCTCCCATATCCTCATGTAACTCTTATTAATTTTCACCTCTCTACTCTTTTTGACAAACTCTGTTTCTCTACACTTGTGTCTGATTGCTAACATCAACAATAAAGTAGGAGTAGCAGAAAGGCAACTCCAACATTTTTCTTTTATCTATTTTATCATACTGTTACCAATTACCTTTCCACCTCATCCAAGCTTCCTCATAAGAATTTTAACACTATAATGCTGTTGTTAGATTACACCTTTCCTGACTTTAAACCTAATTCTGGCCAAAGAACTGTCTCTTGGTCTATGTACTGGTTCAACATAAGGACAATTAAGTGTTCTGGAATTCTCATACCATAATTTGTTAGGCTTCAGAGTTGAATGTTTTTCATAGCCAACGTAACACAGGAAAACATCTTTCTGCTATTTTCTGCTTTCGGGAAAATCCATCTGACATCAACAATTATAACCCTCATTTTACATCCTCTTCTGAAGTCACCTTGAATTTCTGGCAGTTTCTCCAACAGTTCAACCTTTTAAATTATTTTCAGCAAAATTTTACTTGCATTTGATATGAATGATATTACATGCATGTAATATAATAATATTACATTCTGTTGGGTCACCTTTCTTTGGAATGAGCATAAATATGGATCCCTTCCAGGCAGTTGGTCAAGTAGCATAGACTAATGAGTGTTTACAGCACTGCATAGATTTGTTGAAACATTCCCATCTGTGTTCCATCAATTCCTAGAGCAGTGGTTCTCAACCTTCCTAATGCCATGACCCTTTAATACAGTTCCTGTTGTGGTAACCCCCCAACCATAAAATTATTTTCATTGATATTTCATAACTGTAATTTTGCCACTCTTATGAATCGGCAACCCTAAAGGGGTCGCGACCCACAGGTTAAGAACCACTGTCCTAGAGCCTTGTGTTTTGCTAATGTCTTTAGTGCAGTTAGGACTTACTCCTCTAATACCATCAGGTTTTTTTAAAATCTTTATATTGAGGGCTTGTACAACGCTTATCACAATCCATACATATATCCATTTACTTTCTACTTAAGCCCTTCGTATCAGCTCATTTTTCCCCTTCCCCCCCCACCCCTTCATGAACCCTTGATAATTTATAATTATTATTTTGTCATATCTTACACTGTCCGACATCTCCCTCACCTACTTTCTGTTGTCTGTCCCCCAGTGAGGAGGTTATATGTAAATCCTTGTAATCGATTCCCCCTTTCTACCCCACCTTCGCTCCACCCTCCCGGGATCGCCACTCTCACCACTGAGCCTGAGGGGTTCATCTTCCCTGGATTCCCTGTTTAATACCATCAGTTCTTGAACACATGCTTTCGCTTTAAATGGTTGAGTGTCTACCAGTTCTTTTTGATGCAGTGACTGAATATTCTTTCCTTCTTTTGACACCCTGCAACATTCAATATTTTGTCCACATAGTCCTTGAATATTACAATTCAAAGTTTGAATTTTTCTTCAGGTCTTTCAGCTGGAGCTATGATAAGAAAGCCCCTCCCTTTTGGTTTTCTAACTCCAAGTCTTTGTGCATGTCACTATAATGCTTTGCTTTGTCTTCTTGAGCTGTCTTCTGAAATGTTTGGTTCAGCTCTTTCATCATTTGTTCCATTTTCTTTGTCAACCTTAGTTCAAGAGCAAGCTTCAGAATCTCTTCTGACATCCACTTGGATTTTTCTTTCCTGTTTTTTTTTTAATGACCTTTTTGCTTATTATTTGTGTCAGTCCATTAGATCTATTCTTACCATGGCCTATAAATTTGGATGGGTCATAATCAAGGTGTTATTTTGGCTCTTGTTGACTTTAAAATTGTTTCTTTAGCTTCAGCCTGATCTTCAGTATAAGCAATTGGCTCTCCGTTCCACAGTTAGCCCCTGGCCTTGTTTTGGTAACGATATGAGCTACTCCATGGTCTCTTCCCACAGATGCTTTCAATTTGATTTCTGTGTTTCGTATGTGCAAGGATCCATGTGTATAGTCACCACTTATGATGTTGGAAAAAGTATCCGTAATGAAGATGTTGTTGGTCCTTCAAAATTCTACTATATGATCTCCAGCTCCATTTTTATCACCAAGGCCATATTTTCCAAAACCTTATCCTTCCTCTTTATTTCCGGCTTTTGAATTCCAATCACCAGTAACTACCAATACATTTTGATTGATGTTTGATCAATTTCAAGCTAAAGAAGTTGTAGAATTCTTCAATTCTTAATCACTGGCTTTATGATCCATGTGTAAATTTGATTAATACTTCTATGAAGAGATCTTCCTTGTTCTTATAGATATTCCCCTATCACACACAGTATTGTATTTCAAGATAGAATCCTGAAGCATTCTTATTGATGATGAAAGCAACACCATGCCTCTTGAATTTATCATTTTGGTACAGTAAACTATGTAATTGCACCATTCAAAATGGCCATTACCACTCATTTTCAGCTTAATAATGCCTATGATGTGGAGCTCCGTGTGTTCCATTCTATATTTGACAATATACCGTTTTCCTAGATTCAAATTTGTACATCACACATTCCAATTAATACATATGTGCAGATTGTCTCATTTTGAGTCATACTCCATCAGCAGATGAGGGTCCTGAAGGCTTTGCTGCATCTCCATTGTTAAGATCCACTCTACTTTGAGGTGGCAACCCTTCCTTAGTCGAATTTTGAGTGTCTTCCAACCTTAGGGGCTCATCTTCTAGCACTCACTTATCTGACAGTGTCCTGCTGCTATTTCGGGTTTATAGTAGTTAATCCTTCGGAAGTGAATCACCTCTTCCTTCTTCCTAGTCTCTTCTTTGTCTGGAAGTTCTCTGAAATAGGCATAGCTTCCAGCATCACAGCAACATGCAAGCCACCACAGCATGACAAACTGACAGACAAGTTGGGACACTATACAGTTAGCAATGAGAATAAGAGATGTTGGCCATGTTATTGCCTTTTTTCTGTGTCTGCATTAATAGTATCTTTGCTCTATAATTTGGCAAAATATGTTTCAATTACAAAGTTATATATTAAGCATAGAATAACATTATAATCATCATCCCAGTACCCACCATGCACCTCAAATAATAAAACATGCAAATAAAGCCCTGCAATGTCTTTTTTTCTATGAGGACTCAATAAGATACTGCCAAACCCCAAACAAACTCAATATTATCAAAATTTCCCTGAAGATCATTCAAAAACATTTGGAGCAGTACATTGACAGGACCAAACCAAACTCACTACCATTGAGTCGATTCCGACTCATAGCAGCCCTATAGGACAGAATAGAACTGCCTTTGGGGGTATCTGAGGCTGTAAATCTTTGTCGGGGCAGAAAGCTTCATCTTTCATTCACAGAGCGCCTAATGGGTTCAAACTGCTGACCTTGTGGTTAGCTGCCCCATGAGTAAACTATTATGCCACCTTTCAGAAACAACAAGATACCCTAAGTCCACTCCCCCGGGCACTCATACATTTTAGTGCATGGCAGGAAGCTGGAAAATACAAACAAATGATGATTCTACAACGAACCTTTTACACTATGAAACTTCTGCTTTGCTTACTACATGCAATATGCCCATCAATTTTGCATGCCATATATTACATGAATAAAGTATAATTTTTAATTTGTAGAGTAAGCATAAATTAGAATTCTAACACTTCCTTCCTGCACAATAGGTTATCTTACATATCCTCGAGGTATTCCAACAGCACATGTGTGCTCTAAACTATCAATCGAGAAGCCAGGTCTTTGTTTAACACATCATTGTAATGTGCCAAACAGTGCATGTAAGAGTAGCTTAATATTTGTTGGCTGAATGATTGATGCATGGCGTTTTCTTGAGGTCTGAAGATCATTTGGAACTCTATAGTAAATATATATGAGCCACTCACCTTGCATAAATTTTGACATTGTGCTGGTATTTCTTTAAGATTCTACTGTTCCAAGGAGAAAACAAATTGTTGAAAATAAGCAGAAAGGTCTTTTAGAGCTTAAGAGACAAAATTCTGGATTCCTGGGACACAAGTACAGTGAACAAATCCATGTAAGTACAATGTTAGTAAAATTCTATTCAGTAGTTTAAAAATTGCTTGGAGGAATGAATGTTCTTAACATAATGCCTTTGTCATAAAGTATATACCACATAATGCCTTTATTGTAAAGTATATAAATGTTATCAAAGCCACTTGTGAAACAGTTCTAGAATCTCTGTACTACAAGCTTATTTTATTAAACTTTTGAAATGTATTCTAATTAGACTATCTGAAGGTGTTGAACCAATTTTAAGGAATCACAATTATTATGTTTTATTTATTAGAATCAACTCTTTCTGCAAAAATTGAGGTCATTTACAATAAAATTCAACAAGGTTATATAAATTTATATTTAAAAATATGTGTTTAAGAAATGACTAGATTAGAACCATGGATATACCAAACAAGTATGCTAGTCATAAAGACTAATCTAGTCCCACGTTATTGAATCATGAGTGGACTTAAGCTTCCAGAAAGACCAAGCCATAGAATGATTTGATATAATTTCAAGAACTATTAATAATGATATTGTTTGGGGTACATTATTTTAAAAGAATATTCCCTTTTAGACCTTATATAGGGGAATCTGAAATTCACAATGGAAAATGTCTCTAATAATAGTGTTTAACAACAGCTAATAAGAAATGTCATGTGGCAATATGAAATATCTTCAATAAAAGCCATGAACATAATAAAAGAAGACCAGCGAAGGTGGTTCTATGAGACAATTCTTGGTGTAACAGTCTACACAGCTTGACTAGAAATCTCGTTCAGAGATATTTGGGAAGGAGTTCTAGAACCTCTGTGCTCCAAGCTAATTATTTCATACTGATTTTGTAGAGGTCTAACTTGATCCTAGAATTGAATTTAGAATATTAGAGAATAGGAGGATGAGTAAATAGCAATTTCACTTGAAGATTCTACTTCAGATGTCACTTTTGAAACTTCTTAAATAGAATTGGAATGGAATGGCTTATGTAGAATTTAGTATTCCATGTTGAGAGGTAATATTTAAATTTAAGAAATATTTAATTTTATATGGGTAAAATTGTTAATACAACAGTCTAATTTCTAACTAAAGTAATCATGACCAGGCACTTAGTTATATACACATTATTTATGCAACTAAAATTTGTCCCATTATTAATATATTTTTACATTTCTAGTATATTCTTATTACTTAATAACAGACATAATACTTAATTTTTGTTAGGTGACATCAAGTCAGTTCATAGCAACCCTATGTACAACAGAATGAAACATTGCCTGGTCTTGTACTGTCTTCACAATACTTGTCAAAGTCGAGCCCATAATTGCAGCCACTGCATCAGTCCAATTCACTGTAGGTCTTCTTCTTTCTCTCTGTTCTTCTCCAGGGACTAGTCCCTCCTGATAACATGCCCAAAGTTCATGAGACTTTGCTCACTTCTCAGCATCCTTGCTTCTAAGGAGAATTCCAGCTGTACTTCTTCAAAGACATTTGTTGATTTTTCTAACAGTCCTTGGTATAGGCAATATTGTTCTCCAACACCATAATTCAAATGCATCTATTCTTCTTTGATGTGCATTATGCATTGTCCAGCTTTGACATGCAATGTACCATGAAATACCATGGCTTGGGTCAGGTTAGTCCTCCAAGTGACATCTTTGCTTTTTAATACTTTAAGGGTTTTTTTTTTTGCTGCAGCAGCAGCAGATTTGCCCAATATAGGATGTCATTTGACTTCTTGAATGCTGCTTCCATGAACTTCAATATTTTGTCTCTTTATCATGATGCTTATTCATTGCTTATTGGTCCATGTGTGCAGATTTTTATTTTTAATTAATTACAAATACAATAATGCCTTTTTTTAAATAATGTCTTTTAAGGTCATCCTTTTTAACTTCCATATTCCCATCAAATATCTCAAAATCATCAAAGAATGAATTTTTAACTTTTATTTTTTCATGTTTTTATTAATATGTTTTAAACTTTAAAGTACTATGTAGACATTGTAGTAAAGAAGATGAACAAAGTAAAATTTAAATGCCCATGAACCCCTTTCTTTGTTTTTCTAGGTCTGTGTAGTATTAAATAAAAATTATGGTGCTGAGGAGGGTGAGGGGCCAGCCCCCACCCATTGATACTCTCTACGAATTCAGTAATACTACTTCTGGGTTCAGTAATGCACAATTGTACGGTTGAGATATATAAGTATTATATTAAAGTCATTGATAGCATGAGAGATAATACAATAATACAGTCAGGCATGATACATAGCAACATTGCTCACCTC